GCCTAGGACTGTTAGCTCTCCTGGCCATTTCGATAATGGCATCGATACCAACTTGGTATGGCATAACATGACTGTATGAAGAACATATTTGACTAGTCATAACATGAAAATTATGACATGTATGTCATGATTTACATTTCATGGTCATGCATCTCCTGCGATGGTTTCATTGACATGGCATGCTGCAAAACTGGTATGGTATGGCACGATTGCATGGGGAACACAAGTGACAGACCCTAAGATGAAAATCGTGACATGCATGTCATGTAACAACATGACTAACATGCCACGCTCATGATGCACTTGCAGCCGTTTCGCTGGCCTCACATATACCAAATTCGGTATTACAGTACGTGAATGTATGACAAAGGTATGTGACTGGTGCAAACAGGATAATCATCAGATGCGTGTCATGTAACAACATGACTACATGCCATGCTCATGATGCACTGGCGACCGTTTCGCTAGCTTCACTTATACAAAATTCAGTATTACGGGACATGAATGTATGACATAGGTATGATACTAGTGCAAACATAATAAACATGAGATGCGTGTCATGTAACAACATGACAACATGCTACGCTCATGATGCGCTCGCACCCGTTTCGCTAGCTTCACATGTACCAAACTTGGTATTACGCGACGCGAACGGACGACATAAGTAAATGACACATCCAAACATGATAATTACGACATGCGTGTCATGTGACAACATGACTACATGCCACACTGATGATGCACTCGTGGCCGTTTCGCTAGCTTCACATATGCCAAATTCAGTATTACGTGATGCCAATGGATGACGAAGGTATGTGACTGATGCAAAGATGGTAATCATGAGATGCGTGTCATGTGACAACATGACTACATGACACAGTCAAGGGGCCAATACATTTCGACGTGATGTGGCACACGTACTCGCCGGCATTCATTTCGTGGCATCATGCCGGCGTTACCAAGCTAGGCGCCGCTCCTGCCATACACTTGCAGGCGCGCGCCTCTCTGCGTTGTTTTGACGCATGCGCGTTTCAGCGTGCCCGGTGTTTCTGCGTCATGAAAAGAGTGAGACGCAGTGTTGTCTGCATAACGCATCGGCGGGAAATGCAACATGTCACATTTCGCGCCGGTTGTCGTCGGCCATGCTGACGGACGCTGGTCACACCTGGCGTCAGACTATATATAGAGTACTCGCGTTTTGCTAACGTAGCGTCGCTGTGCCCAGCGTTTGCGCGCATCAACACTACATCGAAGTATATTGGGCCCTTCATGATGCGCTCGCGGCCATTTTGCTAGCTCCACATATAGCCAATTCGGTGTTACGTGACGTGAATGGACGACGAAATATATGACTGGTGCAAATATGATAATCCTGACACGTGTGTCATATAAGAACATGACAACATACCACGCTCATAGCATGCTCGCTGCCGTTTCGCTAACTCCACAAATACTAAATTTGGCATCACGTGACATGAATAGATGATGAAGGTAAACGACACATCCAAACATGATAATCATGACACGAAAGTCATGTATGGCATCATTTACCCCCTCCTCGTAAAGTTGTGCTGAGTTTAACGTGACATATCAACATTTCTCATTCATATCATAGATTCCCACTGTACGTGTGATCTGCCAATATTTTTTTCTTAATTGATATATATATGGGTAGACTTGCTGAAGTTTAAAGGATGTCCAACATGTAGAATTTGACTTACTAGAAATATGGTGACAGTTGATTTCTTGAAGTAGGACTGGCAGTTGTTATATGGTTATTTTCAGATAACATTACAAGGTCATCAGTGCACAACGAAACGGCCTCTTAATGGAAAATTTTAAAATATTGAATTGTTGGCCCACAGCATATCACTTTCCTCAACTTAATTTCTGTAGGGTGACAGAAGCCCAAGGTAGTAGTAGTAGTAGGGGGGGGGGGGGGGGGGGGGTTGGAAGCAATTTTTTTTAGTTTTGCCAAATGTGTACAGAAGAAAAAATGTTATCTGAGACTGAGAAAAAAAAATATGTGACCCGGACGTGATTCGAACACGCAACCTTCTGATCTGGAGTCAGACGCGCTACCGTTGCGCCACCGAGTCAGCGGTTTTGATGCTGTGTAGGTGTTCTGTGGTGCGGTGTCTTTCAAAGCAAGAGCAGGCATTCACCCGTGTTGCATAGTATATTTGCGACATTGGCTCGAAAAAATTTTGTATATGGTTTTTTTCTTTTGAAGCTCTTGTTCAATCTGCGAAAGTCACGGAACTCCAGATGTGGCAAGCGAAGTTTTATCAACGTATGTTAAACACGCGACACGACAAAAAAAAAAAAAAACTGTGCATGCGCATTGTAGAAATAAGCGCGGCGTCGCATCGGCAATATGTTCTTGCAATGAATGTATCGTAGAACCGTGTCTACATCAACAGGACAAAGGTAGACAGGCCTGGAGTTACGTATTAACTCAACGAGACTAGCGGCATGGTGTAAGAAAATTACACCGTGGTAGTGCATACCACTCTGCACAATTCTTTCAGCTGGCAGTTAAGTCAGTCAAGAAGCGTTTAAATAACTAAATAAAAATGAACTAAAGTGAGCAAAATAGTATGACCCGGACGTGATTCGAACACGCAACCTTCTGATCTGGAGTCAGACGCGCTACCGTTGCGCCACCGAGTCAGCTGGTGAACGGATTTCTTATACGAAGACTTCGTGGTTGTTGCGAATAGCAGCAGCTTTTTTCATTCGTCTGTTCAGCCGATGGCCGTGTTGATTCAAAACTCTTAAAATAGTTGACTGCTAGGTGAGTTGGTGCTTCAACATCCTCTTCTGTCTGTTCCTGTGTGCTGTGTTTAGTTAGTTGCGCCCTCATTTGTGTTCTCTGCGCTTGTGCCTAAAAAGCGTGTCGACTTCTAACGATATGCCGCTCGCGATCACGGACGGGACAAGACGAACTAAAACGACAGGCTTGCGTGAAAACGCCTGTTATCTGTGATAGAGTTGCGGTTAAAGCTACTGCAAGATACGTCGCGAGCCGTTCGTTGACGCTAAGGACTGCTGAAACAACCTGCGGTTGAAGTACATCGCTACTACCTGTGTTTGTCGAACGTATTTACTAGACGTAAATTCTGCGCGCGTGAGTCCGAAAAAGTGATAGCAAAGAGTCCTTTGGCGGTGCCCGTAGCTCGCCTGTATGGGACTGGCGACGTTATCACGCAGTAGCTTTAACCGCAGCTCTATCACAGATGGCAGGCGTTGGCACACAAGCCTGTCTTTTTAGTACAAGCAATCGTGCAAGACAGATATTATCGCTTCGTCAAACCACGTGCACGGTCAAATTATGCCATCCCGGGTGCGGTTTGTTGTCGCGGTGGTGGTAGTGCGTTCAGGAGCTTTGCTGAGCATGTTAGCAACTGCCAGTGGCGAATGTGGCTAGCACATAGAGTAGCGTAGCAATTAGCACACCACGGTTAAAAAAAAAAAAAAACTGCGACAGTGTGCTTAGCACCTCACCCTAATAATCGGAGGCAGGCGCTAAGTCTGCCCATTCCCTGCCTCAACTTTTAAAGCGCGTCATGGCCATGCAAGTTTTTGAAGAAAATGGTACGTGGGCGAGGATTAACGTGTGAGATGCTAATTAAAAACGGCTTACACTACTTTCCACTCATGCCCGTGGTGCTTTCATTGCGACCCTTGATTTCTTTTGCTCTTGACTAGACGGGGGGGGGGGGGGGGGTGCAGGCATAGAAATACCTCCCTGCAACCAGTCTGAATTGGGGGGGGGGGGGGGGGGGGGGAGTCATTGTTTCCATGCCCCCTTCTTAAACATATGAACCATGTTTATTATTGTTCCGAACCGTCTTCACTGTAATATGCCAGCTGCGTCTGCCATGGAGGGTCACCGTGGTGATCCTAGCTGTGGCATACTGTGTAATTTTTGTGCATGCTGAAAACACCAGATCGTCCAATTTCCCAAGTCCTCTGCTATGACGTCTGCAATAATTATACAGTGGTTTTAAGATGTAGAAACCCCAGATCTTGTTACACTATATACCTGGCAGGAATTTCAACTGCTCCAGCAAAGGGTTTTACACTTTATGAATACGGCTACTGAGCACAAATGTAGGTCACGGGTTCGATCATTGATACATTACAGTGCCTGGCTGATGTAGTATGCAATACATTGGGTGCACACTTGAAGGGGACGTGAAAAGGTTGCTCCTAAAAGGACAATGCGGAACCGCCGGCATCCACACACCAACTAGGTGACGTCAACGTAAGTAGAATAGACCTGCATGGATGCTTTGCCTATCGAGCACAGAGTAAGAAGAAAGTGGAGCTCCGCCGTACTTGCGACTGCACGCAATTTGGTCACCCATCGGCGCATGTCTTTGTTATAGGCAATCCGCGCTAACTTGAACTGTGCAGCTGATGTTATATTAAGCAGCGTTACTGTGGGACATTGATCGCGTTTGGCGGAGACGCTGATGAGCATCTCTTGCACGAGCTCGCCGATTCTGTGGAGTTTTGCGTTCCTCAACAGGCAATGCATTAATGCAGGTCTAATTGGGCTGATGTCACCTAGTTAGTGTGTGTGGCTACCAATGGTGCCGCCTCGTCGCTGTGAAGCTACCTTTACACGACCCCTTTATAAGCAAACTAAGAGAGTCTAGTCAAAGTTATTCCATATACACTTCTCCCATACCCAACTATTAAGATGGTACCATGGTTTCATAAACAATTCTTCTCACACACACCTGCACTTTGTTCCTTTACCTTCTATTGTTGCTTAGTGGTTAAGACTGAGGCCATACTTGCTCAGGGACATGAGTTTTCAATATTGGTCTGAGGTCCTGCATTCCGACAGGGACGGAATGTGAAAAAAAACACCAATGTGGTCCACGTATTGTCGAAATTAATCCGGAGTTGCCAACTGCTGCATATCTCAGGATCAGGCCATGGTGTTGAAACCTTTGAAAACCCGAAATCAAATTTTTTGTTATCAGGGTGTGGTGAAACGGGATGAGCTGGTATTCCGGCGTGTCCGGAGGCAGGGCCTGCCGGTGGTGATGCTGACGAGCGGCGGCTATCAGCGCCAGTCGGCGCGTGTCATTGCCTCTTCAGTACTCAACCTGTGCCGCCAGGGACTGCTGGCCAGACGACCACCACGCCGCAGGGCCAGTAGCAGCACACAAGTAATGACTGCTGACGTTCTATTCACAGTCTTTCTTATACATATATATAAACCCTTTGGACAGATAAAATGGAGGTACAACTTGTGTGTAAAGGTGTATGGGTATCTGCATAATTCATGGGTTTATGAGACACAAGTGTGAGCTGGCAGAGCTATCGTACGCACTCTTAAATAAAGAAGAGGAGAGAGAGATTACCTGTTACTCTTGCTGGTTACTCCTGACTTGTTACATGTATAATACTCTTTAAAGATGCACATAACTCTCCTTGGAGATCATTATACTTTCTTTAAAAATTTGTGAATGGTGTAACGCTCTGAAAAGAGTTTGCAAATATCTTTGTAAAGTTTTGCATAGGCTGCAACTCAAGAGTCACTGAAAAAGTGACGCGTAATTTTTTTCTGTAGTCTCCAGAAGGCACAATGCTATTGTTGCAGTATTGTACTGAGCTGTAGGTGTAGAACACTCTCCAGATCATTAGCATGCCATTTCACTTAAAATTTTTCATTGATGTATGTGTAACTCGAAATTGTATCATCCCATTACCATTAGGCAACTAGTAGTCACACAAAGTGTAGCTACAACATTGTAAGTGAAAAATAAAATAAAAATATGCACAAGTAAATGATGGGTGAGTGACATTTGCACGAGGGATAAATGCACAAAAAAAAAGCTTCCGTAGCCACGTAAGAGCTCTCAAATCATAAATAAAAAAAGTTCACAATCGTTTATAAAAATCATTAAGATAAACATTTAAAATAGATCACCCTACTGAAAACATATATATATATTGTCCATGTATCTGTGTGTGTTGCTGCGAATGCCTTCGAAAAATGATAGTCTTCTGCTGGCCTTCTTTCGTGTATAGCATCATATTTTCTTTACAGCCTAAGAAACACTAGGGTGTTTATATTAACGTATTTATGTATTTTTAGTAAAGGAATATACCACCTAATACTTGCATATTGATGTTGTGCCTCAGATATGCATAATACTTCCTTTTGATCGACAATGTTCACAAGTATGAACGCAGCAGCCAGTTCAAGATGGCTTGGCAGTCAGCAAGGGCTTAAACTTGCTGGCCAAGTGACTGAATCGTGTGACAAATAGACTGAAATTTCTGCTTTCAAGTATTACCATAAAACTTCCCTTGCTCAGAGAAAGGCTATCGTCTGCAAGAAACACACCGGGAGCCCTGTACAAAATACCAATGCAGCAAACAATACAACTGGGTCTAAAAGAGCAAGAAACAACTTACCAGCCATATGGAGCCATTTAATAAAAGATATAAATTTCTGAGTGGATGGTGCATAACATGGAAGTAACTAGGTTTTTATCTAGTGTGGGATATGAACCCTCTTTGTGCACATGCATAAATGTGTACGAACAACAATTCCCAGGGAAGGAGGTTTTGGCCCCAGGTTATCCTGCTTCCCTAGTTATGCCTATGGGGTAAAAGCATGTTGAACCTGATCTGAGGGCAGGCGCATAGCCAGCAACTTTTTTTAAGGGGGGGGGGGGGTTCACTTGCATCTTTATATTTGTGTTCATGCCGCACATCCGCATTCAAAATGCAAAATTTTCGCAGGAGACTTCAACCTCTCCCTCACTACCCACCTGGTTACGCCACTATATAACAACACAAAAATAATTTTGGAAATATAAAAGTCACTTGCAGAAACATCAACCATGTAGTATGATCATGCAAGCCATAAATTGGAGGCTCTAGAAGTGGTTGGATAAACGGCATGTGTGCGATATATCTATACATGCAATGGGCATAAGAACTCTGGAGAGAATGTGACCAATCGCACTTTAAGCTGTATAAGTCTATCTATGCATTTGAAATTCACTATATTGCTAATAATAGAAATGCTTCGGTTTGTTTCCTCTGAATTTTATTGGCCTGCTGTCTTCTGCCCTGCGTGCTTCGTGAATGAGTTGGGGAAGCTTTGGGGAAAGCTTGTCTTGGGAGAAAAGAACAGGGTTGAACATGAAAGATACACTTTTGTCAACCAAACAAATGCAAAAGGACAAAAATGTACTTTGTCACTAATTATAACCTGACTGCCCGTTGTTTCAGGACAGGAGCTCAGAGGAAGACAAGGAATGAACAACTGTATGCCTGGCGACTCAACGCAGCTGCAGCTAATATTTAGAGCGTTTCAAATTTAGGAGAATGTATGTGATCCCCCATGTGGCATACATAATCTCCCTGATAAGCTGATCTGTAACAACATAGTTTATTTGACCACTCTGTGTGCTACTATTTAACTGGCCACTTGTTAGTTATGTATTTTTGACATACTAACCTTGTCATTATTTATTGTGCAGCTCTACTATTACTGTACATATTAATAGAGAGAGATATATATGTCATTGTTGGTAATAAAATATTTATTATTAGGCCAATTGTGCATCGTCCTGTTTCACTTCTTTTCTGCAACCTGTATGGTTGATTGGAGCCCTCAGTGCACACAGCTCACGACCAAAATCGGCAACAAAAAAAAAAAGCAGCCAGAATTCATGGTAGTTCAAACTTGATGCAACTTGAAGTAGTAGTATGTATAAGCAACAGCCTTTGTATACTGCAGTTTAAATGCACTTGACTGTTGCTCAGGCCGAACTCTCTGCCTTTCTGTAAATAAACTTATCTCTCTCTCTCTCACTTGTTTGTAGTTATCTTCGGATGTAAGTGTGATGTACTATAGTGCACCATCCTGAGTTTTGCCTGGGGCAATGTAGCGTCTGTGCTGGTGGTCAGGCCAGTCGCATTGCAAATGCCTTGGTACATATCTCACCTGATATTTCAGTCTTCCCCTGTCGTCTGGAGGACACAGACAAATTTTCGATTGTTTCCAGGATCGACCTATGTATGTGGCACGCTCCATCAGGTAACCTTTGTTATCTATACACTTGCAAGAGAAGAAAACAGATATTTCAAATAATAATTTTTCACCTCTATTGTACACGGAGGAATGTTCAGCTATCACTTGCTCTTTCACCGAGTGTGTGTCCGAAAGTCCTCAGTAATAAGGGGAATGTGATGTTAGCTAGTGGTTATCGTGATTCAATTTTCTGTAGCGACATCTTAACTATAATGTCTAGAGGCAACATCATATATTTACAGAAATTAAATTGACTTATTAATTGAAGGAGACGCGCGAATTTGTGTCAAACAGGGCAGTTGAAGTCCTTTCTGTGAAGAAACCATTGCCGCTTTGAGAGCTCCGAATAGCAGCCTCTAGTAAATATTGCGGAGCAATAAATTTCAACCAGGCTGAAAAAAAAAAAAAAATGAGAGAGAGGGGCCGATGGCCGCACGACGAAGATAGCGTCAATGTTTCCGATAATTTTAGAAGTTGTGCTAGTTGTGCGCAATGCGTGCAATAATCTCAAGCGTGACCACTGATGTAGCGTGTTTGATGAGCGGTTCGTTCATAATGGGTTCATTATGGCCCGCTCATTTCGGACTTTTGGACAAGTTTCGGTTTCGTCGGCAAAATTGTCAGAATTCACCACTCTGAAAATTTTACCTGCGGTCACATTATGAAAATCTCAAATCGGCAATAAACTCTTCGCAGCTCAGCCTCTATTTTGCACGACAACCTGTCCCTGTTAATTTAAGGATCAACTCGTACACAAATATTGCATACATTCAGTTAACAATAATCCCTCAGACGGAGTTGATCATAGAGTTAATATACTCTCTATGGAGGTGATCAAAGTTTTACGTTTATTATGTAGCTAGAGGACAACGCTTCTAGCGGGCTGGAGCCCTCACCTACACATCCGAAAGCCCAAAAGCATTTCATTCTCTGCATTTTTTGTGTCCACCGTCGCAATTTATCGCCACCAGGTGTTTTCGTGTTGTTATCGTGGTCTCGCGCATTCTCGAGCGCCACTGGCTATAAGCGCGCAGTTTGTGTGCAAGAGGACGCATCTTTTGCTGCGCCGTTCGAGGAAGGTTACTGACCACTGCGAAAGGGAATCGCAGAGGAATCGACCGATTCGCCAAACGACTTCCTAGGACGTCAGCTGAGAACTGCGACAACTCGGCTGTGTTGGCAGCTGCTAGGTAGGTCGGAGTCTATATTAGTCTTTATTCGTCCTCCCAGTAGCCGGCGCCAATGATCGAAAACTGACCAACGGTTGTATGGAATCAGTTCAACAATTATTTTCTTTTGTACCGTGTACTCTCCGAACTCGGCTCTGCACTAGCGCCATTCAACAAGTCGGATAGGCCACAGTTAACTGCGCAATTTTGTATCGACCCGTATTTGTGTCAACCAACCGTCATCTTAGAAGCCTTTAGCGCAACTAAACGCGCTCGAAAGTGGTCATATGCTTGTTTTTCTGGTGACTTGGGAGAACAAGAGGTGGGCGGGGCGCACGTGCCTCCCCGCCCCGTTTCTTCTTTGTCATAACATATAGAGCACAAGTGGCACACGACCACATCTGCCTCCCCGGCTCCTGCTTCAGATCAATAGGTTCCCTCGGCCCGCCCGGAAAAAAAAAATTGTGGCTGCGCCTTCGGTTGATAGGATTTGATGACTTAATTTTATATTTATTGAATACTTCAAGCTTCAGGGGTATTTAAAGGCTCATAGGTTCCTTTGCGAGTGATAGTTATTGGAATAACGTGCTGTTCTTGAAGAGAAATAAATGGTCGCACTGCTTGAAATTTGGCCTACCGACACGTGCCATGATGGCACACTAGATGTGCCATTTAACCGCTAAGTGTGGTGTCGTAGCTTCTGTCTGTACCAGCCATATTTCATTTACTTGAAGCAAGTATTCTAGTGTATGAATGTGCTAAAGGATCCTAAATGGACAAAATAATATGCATTCTTCCTCTGACATACATTCCCACCCACTTGATAATTTCAGGAGGCTATTTCTGAAATATTTTTGTTCGAATCGTTCATGACAAGACTTTATGTAGCACAGGCACTGATCTCCAACTGTCAACTACATGGTTTGTTACTAGGGCACATTAAGTAGCTTTGTAAGTAATGTAAAGGGGAGACAAAATACATGTTTACTTGCATTTGTGACACACTCTACTCTGAAAAGAAAATTTAGTAACTTAGTTAAATGTGTGTTGCATGCCCATTCTTTTGTGCTAGCTATCTGGATATGCTGAAACTAATGTGCAGCCAGTGTCACCATCATCAGCCTGACTACGCCCACTGCAGGACAAAGGCCTCTCCCATGTTCCGCCAGTTAACCCGGTCCTGTGCTTGCTGTTGCCAATTTATACCCCCAAGCTTCTTAATCTCATCTGCCCATCTAACCTTCTCTCTCCCCCTTACCCGCTTGCCTTCTCTAGGAATTCAGTTAGTTACCCTTAATGACCAGCGGTTATACTGTCTCCATGCTACATGCCCGGCCCATGTCCATTTCTTCTTCTTGATTTCAACTATAATATTCTTAACCCCGGTTTGTTGCCTAATCCACTTTGCTCTCTTCTTGTCTCTTAAGGTTACACCTACCATTTTTCTTTCCATTGCTAGCTGGGTCGTTCTCAATTTAATCTGCACCCTCTTTGCAAGTTTCCAGGTTTCTGCTCCGTAGCTAAGTACCGGCAAGATACAGCTGTTATATACCTTCCTCTTGAGGGATAGTGGCAATCTACCTGTCATGATTTGAGAGTGCTTACCAGATGTGCTCCACCCCATTTTTATTCTTCTAGTTACTTCAGTTTCCTGGTTTGGCTCCACAGTTATTATCTGTCCTAAGTAGACGTAGTATTCTACAATTTCAAGTATTTGGAGGATGTTAGCATTCTTCCAGGATTCTGGTACTCTTCCCGTCAGGAGACACCTTTTAAACAGGGTCGCTAGTTTTTCTAACACAATCTGTCCTCCATCTTTCAGCAGATCTGATGTTACCTGATCCTCACCAGCAGCTTTGCCTCTTTGCATGCTATCCAAGGCTTTTCTGACATCTTCTGTAGCGACACCACGGACCCGAGCTAATGGGGGAGTTTCTACTCCCTCCCACGCCTAGCCGTGCGTGGCTTTGCCGTGTCCGGGGAAAAGGGGATCCTGGTGGTGATTGGACCTTTAAGGCCCCCCGGCAGAGGCAACACACCCCTTTGGCCCCGGCTTCACGTAGACGGCATCCCTGGGCTGACCCACCCAGGGGAAATCGGCAGTCGCCTTTTCCTATCTCTCTCTGCCTACATCTTCGTCTTTATCTCTCACTATCTATCTGTCCTGTCTTCTACTCTCTTCCGTTTACTTCCAAACTTCCTGGCGGCTAGGGTTAACCCTGTGCAAATAGCCTACCTTGGTCTAGGCGCATTGTGTTATAGTAGCGTTGTATGGCTGGCGTCTGCAGGTTTCAGCATTCGCAAACTTGTAGCGTCCCCTCGTTGGGCTCCGTGGTGGGTGGCCACCAACGCTGCTGAACAAAAATGAGACCGGCATGCATGGAGCATTCACTCTTCTGTCTGATCGTACCGGCTTAAAGCGGGTACGCACCGATGATATAAACTTTTTCAACCAGCCAAAAGAAACATATCCTCACTTTCATGTTATCCATTGTGAAAAAACTGAAAAGCAAGCCAGGATCGTCTCTCCTTTCCTAGTTTCTAGATGTCTTACCGAAGCTCTTCGCACTGGATACAAGGTAACCAAAATGGCTAGTGGAGACCTTCTCCTCGAAATCCGTGACAAAGAACGATTTGAAAAGCTAGACCGTCTTTCAGATTTCGGTGGCATACCAATAACCATAACACCACATAGATCAATGAACACAACTCGCGGAGTGGTATCCGACATGGACTTGCTTGACTTGACTGAGACTGAACTTTTGGAGGGGTGGAAGAGCCAAAATGTCACTAATGTACAGAGAATCGTCATCGGAAGAGATAAGGAAACACCGACAAAACACTTAATAATCACGGTTGCATCCAGTAAACTACCGGAATCTATTCAAACAGGGTACACGAAGACATCTATCAGGCCGTACATACCAAACCCTCGTCGTTGCTTCCAATGCCAGAGGTATGGCCATGGCTCTAAAATCTGTCGTGGTCGCCAGACTTGTGCACAATGTGGAGTCCTAGGCCACGTGTCTGAGAACTGCAAACAACCGCCACACTGTGTAAACTGCGAAGGAAACCATGCCGCATATTCACGCTCCTGCACATACTGGAAAAAAGAAAAAGAAATAATTACGTTGAAGGTGAAGGAGAACATTACATTTAAGGAAGCACAGCGAAGAGTCGCTCCATGTTATGGACCTACATACGCTGATGCGGCGTGTCGGAGGGCACCGCCGCACCAGCCCTCACCACTCCTTCGGCCCGCGCGTACCGAGCCGGTGGTTGTGGCACCTGCCCCCAAGGCGGCTGTAGCCCAGGCTACATTGCCTACTCCCAAACAGAGACCGGAGACTCCAGAGTCCTCGGGTCTCAAGGCCTCACCTCACCAGGCGAGGCCCGAAATTCGAACTAACAGCCCGCACGTGCGGGCATCCAGTGCCTCCGAGGAGGCATTAGATACGTCGGTACCCTTGGTGCCGAAAGGGCGGCGTGGCTCCTTGGAGCGCGCCAAGAAAACAAAAAAGCAGATAACGGGGCCTGGTGACGGCCCTGTTAAGTGAACTCAAACTCCCTGTCTAAACAGCCACTCGCTTTTCGTACACACAGCACTATTTTACATTCACCATGAACACTCAAATTATACAATGGAACGTCAGGGGCCTTCTCGGAAACCTTGACGACATCCAAGAACTCTTACACGAACACTCGCCAAAAGTGCTGTGTGTACAAGAAACACACCTTAACTCAAAACACACAAATTTTCTTCGTAAATACGTTATTTTCCGAAAGGACCGTGTTGATGCCATGACATCATCCGGATGTGTTGCCATTATAGTGAATCAAAGAATTGCATGCACACACTTACAACTCCAAACATCCCTTGAGGCAGTGGCTGTTCGAGCAGTTCTTTTTGATAAACTGATCTACATTCCTCTTAGCTATCAGCTGCAAAAATGTGATTTACACTCTTTAATTGATGAACTTCCGGAGCCCTATGTTCTCCTTGGATACTTTAATGCGCATAGCAGGCTATGGGGTGGCTCTCGGTATGACGCACGAAGTCGACTGATTGAACAGTTCCTTCTCTCTTTGAGCGCGCGTCTCCTAAATCGAAAAGAACCAACCTATTATAATCTCGCCACTAACACCTACTCCTCCATAGACCTAAGCATAGTATCTCCATCTCTTGTGCCTTTACTTCAGTGGAAAATCGTCAGTAATCTGTACGGAAGTGACCACTTCCCCATAGTTTTGAGCACAAATACAGTAACTGAGTGTCCACCACGTGTTCCCAAGTGGCTCATAAACAGAGCCGACTGGGAACACTTTTATACCATCACTCGTCTAGGTTGGAATGACATATGTACTCTGAACATTGATGTTGCTGTCAACTACTTCACAGCGTTTTTGATTGATGCTGCAACAAAATGCATCCCACAAACAAATGCACAACCTAGAAAACGGCGTGTGCCATGGTGGAACTCTGAATGCCGAAACGCGTGCAAACAGCTAAACAGAGCTTGGAGGCTGCTTCGGAACTCACCGACAGCCGGAAATCTTGAGACATTCAAGAAAATAGGTCTCAAGGCAGGAGAACGCGTCGGCAGGTCAGAAGAGAAAGCTGGCAGAAGTTTTTGTCAGGGATCAATTCATACACACAGGAGGCTAAAGTCTGGAACATGGTCGGTAGGATAGCAGGAAAACAAGTACACACACTTCCACTCGTAAACATTCAGGGTGATGCCTTGGAAGATCAGGCAAACTTCCTCGGTGCACACTTCGAAGAGGTGTTCAGCTCATCCCACTATACTGACACTTTCCAAAAATACAGAACAAGAATAGAAAAGCAGAAACTCGAACACAAATGCACTAGATACGAGGCATATAACCAAGCCTTCAGTCTAGCTGAGCTGCGAACGTCTCTGAACTCCTGCAGTACTTCTGCCCCAGGTTCTGACCGTGTGGTGTATGAAATGTTAAAAAACCTACCAAACGAAACACGAAAAACCTTACTTTGTTTGTAC